AAAACAAGGGAGGATAAAATCCCATTTTTTTCATTAAGCTGGAAAACAAATAACAGTTTATTTTGGAGAATTGCACGCCACCTCCAGCTTCTGTGCCTCCAGTAGATCGAAAAATAACAGCTAAATAATAGTCTGCAATCACATTTACTAATGAGGAAGCAGCTTTGATTTGAGCTGTCGTATTTTCACGAGCATCCGGGCTCTGAAACGTCTCTGCTGCAAATTAAGAGGAAAATAATGTGATCTGGAAGAGGTAAAGAGTTGCAATGTTCCATAGCAACATCCACTGGGACCTTAAATGGGATTTGCGGAAAAGTAGTGAGACTCAATGATGGATCATAATGTAACATGCAGGGGACATCTTGTGTGTACATCAGGCTTGAAAGTCTATGGTTTTCTAGCTTTTTCTAAAGAGCAGAACATGTGTTATACTAATGTATATTTTCATATTTTATATCCTCTTCTTTAGATGTCATTTCAAAATGTTTGGGTTTGTTGTAAAAAAAATTAGAAGTCTGTGTCATTGTTCCATGTCGTATAGCTTAAGTGATAAAAATCTGCCAGTGTAAAGATGATTTTTTCATCAATTTTAGAAAATTATCAGCTTAAAACAAGCTCCTATATCCCGTTGAAAATTTTGTTGTAAGTTAGTTTTGTCTTGTTTCAAATATATTTTAATATTCGAACTAGAAACTTTGGACAGGAGCGTCCAAAGTGTGGCCCAGAGGGCATTTGTGACCCTTGGACTAATTTTGTGTGACTCGCCGGACTGAAAGATACGAAACAATTCAGCAGGTGGTTGATACAGATGGAGACATTTTACTTGCGATCAGAGTGAAAATATCACTGCCTTAATGTTCAGTACAACACAAAGTATTTGTCTTTTCATCACCAAGTTTTCAGATCCAGAGAATTTTACTGGAAAGCTGACTTTGCTGCAGCAAATCAACTTTTACTTCATTTATCAAATTTTGCTGAAAATGCCAAGCATTTTGAAGGAAGGGAATCCAAATCCTCTTCTTATAACTGAGAATAAATTTGTTCAATGAAGACAGTTTTTAAGAATATGAAAACTAGATGCATTTATTACAGTACAGAAAATGTGCAAGATCCTTTTTAAGTTCTGGATCTACAACAATTTTTTCAGTAAAAACTACACTATTTGCTTGATTTTTGTTTGTTTTTTGTCTTTTTAGTTTGTTTTCTTAACATGCTAGAACTTCTGATTCAACAATATTGGCCCATGTGATAAAACGTTTGGACACCCTTGGAGTAGAGAAAAAAATATATATACTGTAACATTTTGTGTTTTGGCAACCCTTTGTAAAACCATTTAATAATTTCAGCTACTTTTATAAATAAGAAGGTGTAAATTTTGTCCTGCAGAGATGGATTTCTGTTATTTGTGAGCAGTTTAAGTAAGCATTTATTAAATATGTCGGCAAATTAATCAGCAGTAATAAATCTTTGCTGCGCCGGTGTGTTCAAGATTGTTTCTGCTGTTCCCTACAGAGAAAAACGATCATTGTAATAAGTTGAGCCATCCCTTAAAAATGATGCCTGATGTTCCTCCTGCTGTGCGTCTAATGAAACTACAGTTACCTGCAGATGGCTGGAGCGCTTGAAGGCTTTGCCGCACTGCTGGCAGACATGAGGCTTCTTCTGAGAGTGTGTGATGGCGTGCCGCTCCAGGTCGGAGAGGTAGAAGAAGATCCGCGGGCAGAGTTGGCAGCACAGCACCCTGCGAGAGCCCAGGTTGGTGGGAGACTCTGCTGGAGAGAGGGGGTCCAGGGCGTCCAGGGAGTCGAGTTTGCCCGACGGGAGAAGGGGTCCTATGGGTGGGGAAGGAGATTGAGGGGGAGGAGCCGTGCTGTTGGAGAAGTAGAGGTGGTCGTCCAGAGGAAGATGCTCTGAGTGGAGATGTGAAGAGTCAAACTTGGATTCAGAGGCCGGAGACCGGCCCTCTGCCTCCGAAGCGGAGGGGTCGCGTGTCGGAGACTCCAGCTGTGCACAAGGGGTTCCAAAAGTTGATGGCTTGTTGTTTTCACTGGTGACTTCTTCAGCAGATATGGCTTCAGTTCCTGGGTTTGATTGAGAGTAGCAGATCTGAGTTTGGATAAGTTGGCCGTCCTGCAGACCCACGGTGGGCGTGGGGACAGCGAAGGATGTGAGGACGGGGCCAGAGGTCACACTGTTAACGCCTGACAGGATGAGGGGGGAGCTGCCGCCGTCCAGTCTGATTACGGGATAAGAAAAGGTGGGAAGAGCTGATCCGAGGGAGTTGACCTGACCTGAAGGTAAAGGAAGGGACACTTGAGCCGAGGCTGTAGTAACCTGGGACAGCTGACCAGTTGAGGGGTCGAGGACGGTGACGGGAGTGGAGGTAGAGGTGGAATCAGTAGCAGGAACGGAGGAGAGGAGGAGCAACATGGGTGTGGAAGCACCCTGTGAGGTCACTGAGAGGGGAAGTGAAGAGAGCTGAGGCGACGGGGAGGAAGACAGCAGCAGCAGAGGGGCACTGGCTGAAGGGTTGGTCAGGATCTGGATAGTTTGGCTGGACAGTGAAGGGAGCACGGCTAGGTTAGCCTCCTGAGCAGCTTTAACATTCAACTCTGCAGCAGCTGGAGTGTCAGAGTTCGTCATCAGTTGTATCTGATCACTGCCTTGTGGCGGCTGATCACTAGCAGAAGGTGCATTTAGTGCATTCTCTAAACTTTGGCTAAAGTTTGAACCTGCCAAATTTGATGACCCGTCTTCTTCTTCCACCTGAACCTGATCCGACTGACGCTTCCCCAACATGGAAGCATCAATCTGCGGCACTTTGAGTCCCTCCGGACTGAGCGTATACGGGATTCCCTGGTCATCAATGAGGAGGAGGTTTTCATTGTCGCAGTCTTCTGAAGACAGAGACGCGAGGACAGAAGTAGAAAAGTCCTCAGAACCTTCATCACTGTCTTCCTCCACCATGTCTCTGTCTCCGTCTCCCTCGAACTCGTCTACCTCCATGATCAGGGGGCTCTCGCAGCTCAGGTCCTCCAGAAAGCGCCCGCAGGTCCTCTCTCTTTTCTTGGGCAGACTGAGATCCAGCGGCTTCGTCTGCTCCTCCGCCTCCCTGAACATCCTCAAAGACATGCAGTCCACTTCTTGCACAGTTAGAGGAATATTTTGCTCCACCTCTGTCTCTGAAGGTTCCTGTTTAATCCAGTGATGGCTCAATAATTTAAAAGCAACAGTGTTTGAGTTGAGGTCAGTCTCTGACCCTTCCATGTGTGTGATTTTAACTTTTCCCTCTGCCTCTGGGGCATCTTCAGTGAAATCTTCTTTATTCCTAACAGCTGATATGTGGATTTGACTGCTGCTGTTCTCTGTGATTAGTCCTCCAGCAGAAACCAAAGCAGGTTCCCTCAAATGTGACCCAGCACAGTCTTTGGTCTGGCTGATGGCACATTTCGTGATTGGCCTCTTGCACTGCGGCGGGACAACAATTCTGATCCTTATTGGTTGCTTCCCCAGGACCGGCACCGCAGGCTTCACTCTAATTGGCTGCCTGATCCCAGCAATCTTACTGGTTTCCTGAGAGACCGGCTCCGATGTCCCGCCCACCTCCGCCTGTTCCCCGTTGACTGATGGAGCATCTCTCCTGATGATGGTCACCGCAGCTTTGACGGAGCAGGTCTTGAGGTTCCCCGGTTTGGTGCTGGGTGGGATTTTTTTATCCTTTGGGTCCAAAGCGACCTCTGCCACGGGCCCCGGTGCCTCTGCACACTGGCTGCCATTTTGGACTTCCAGGCTGCCACTTGTCAGGACTGAGGCCAACTGAGAATCCATTTTGGGGCATAACTATTCCTATTTCTATAAAATAAAAGAAGAAAATAGACAGTAAAAAGTTCAGTTAACAGCATTAAATGAAAACAAAAATTAATGTAGTAAATTACCGAGTCAAAAAACTCAAAATATATTATTATTATTATTATTATTATTATTATTATTATTATTATAAGGGTCAAGCCAATATTCATCCACAATTTTAGCATTTTATATTTAGATCGTGCAGGATTCTTCCTCAATAATAGGGATCGCCGCATATGACCCTACATTACAACCTTCTGCAGCTCCTTCTGCTTATTTTTGCTCTATTTCTAATTAAACTTCAGCATATGACCAACAGAGACTGAACTCGAAACGCAACGGAGCAAAGAATCGAGAGATTTTGCATTTTCCAGCACCATTCTATCACCTGAATGCAGCACGAATGAAACGCTTACGGTTGATTTCGCGTCAGAATGTTATTCGCATCATTCTCGGATTGCAGTCTGTGGCTGTTCTAAATTATTACTGGGGATAAAACCGAGGAGAGCCGTCCGCGTAGGACGCCATTACGCACAGCCCTAGGTCCGAAATGAGCATTTATTTCATTCTGAGGGAGCGTGTGCGCGGTGACAGCTGTCGGACCTGGGACAGCAGCATCACAATCGCGTCGGTCCGGAGCGGGGGGGGCCAAACGTGTCAGTTCGCAGCCGGAGCTGATCCCGTCCTCCTCGGTACCGCAGCTTCCTCGGACCCACAGCCAGCCATTTTATGGAGCCGAAGGTCCGAGTCGCCGAGAGCGCAGCTTCGGGGGGAACTTTCCCGGCGCGCTGTCCGCCTAATTCCTGTCTCTGCTTGTCCAGCGGTCGCCGGCGCCTGGATGGACCGGACGCGCTTTACATACATTTAAAAACACTGCATGGAAAAAAAAAAAAAAACTATTCTCCACCCATACTCTCGCTGCATTGGGACTGGCTTACCCGAGCTGTGGATATTTCCGGAGGACCAAATATGACTGTGCAGTGTAAAAAGGGGTGATGCTGCGAATGCTGAGGGAGGGAGGGGTCAAAGGGAGTTGCTATGGTGTCGCAGCCTACCGGGTCCGAGCAGTAGCCATGTTCAGCCTATGAGCACTGTTGAACCTGCAGCACAGGAGGGTTTCATCATGTGGCATTAAAGAGCCAGAGAGCGGATCGTTTTCACGTCGTTTTCCTTTATTTTAAACATCAAAAAATATCAAACTCACAAGCCCCGCAGGCTTGATGTCTCAGACTGAGCAGGAAAAACAAAAAGATATCCCAGTGAAACATATCACAGAGTCAGTTCATGTATAATATATAATCTACTAATGAAACATACATGCATCCAGTGGCGGTTGTTGATGTGGACAATATGGCTCTTTTACCAGGGCAGCACAGTCTCACGGGCGGCACAAGGAGAAAAAGTTATACCAGAAGCAATCCTGTTCACACCGACCTTTAATAGCGAGCAATAGAGTCAGGCAGATCAATCCAAATTAATGACAATGTCAATACTAAGTAAGTATCAGATAAATGCTAGTGTGTAAGATTGATATTTTAGTTTCAGGTTGCCTTATGAAATCCCATTTTATTTTATTTTTTCAATTCTGCCTCAAAAAGTCTTTGTTTTGATTGTCCTTTTTACACTTTGTTTCAGGAAACAGCGCACACAAACTTGTTTTGTTATGTTGTCTCTGTTGATCATGTTAATATGTTTCTTATGTATTCAGTTGACATTTATAAACTTAGCAAAAATACTTTCTAAGATTTTAACAATATATATTTCAAAGGGAAAAAAAACATAAAACCACCTAAATGTTAGAGACCTGATATATTAAACTAGCATCATAAAAATATTTTGATCAATATTGGCATTGGTAATACTGGCCCCTTGTTTATTTCTTATCAGATCAATACCAAAATATGCAGCTTCACACCCCTCTAGTCTGCAGTTTGATTTAAATACATTCCAGGTCTGAAACAAGATCTCTAAATGTATCAGCCAATTGATTTATCTATCTGCTCAGCTAGTTACCATTCACAAATCTCCATCCCTGCAGATCAATAAGTTCACAGTGAACCTTTGGTTTTATACCTTAAACATGCAATTCCACCACATTTTTCATGTCAACATTTTTACAGACTGAATTTCCACAGTTCTCAGTAACTACATTCTGTACGCTAACAAAATCTGACTGTTCTGATTATGCAAATTTTTGGACTCAATTTGCAATTTGAGTTTTGGAAATCATTTGTACTGCGCTTGGTCGTGTCCAGTTCAAGAGCAAACGTCCTCATCCTGATCGAATCTGGTCTGGATCGTTCTACACTGCAAACATTCTTTAAAACAGATTGAAACTGTTGAAATCATAGGAAATATCTGAGGGCATTTGTGGCAAATAAAGCAAGGAAGGGACTCGCTGTGGGTGCTGTTCAACCAAGAACCGCCACTGCATATATCATGATTACGGTCTCTACTGTATGGAGCAACTCAAGCTGCAGCAGGATTTGAATATAACTTGCAATGTTTGAATGTAATAACAATGCCTTTTGATTAGTGTGCAAGAAAAACAGAAGTATACCTAAACTCAAAATGAAGAGCTTAGACTAATTCACAATACCTGTCAAAAAGAGCTAACAGATGTTGGACAAAGAGTATCTAGGTGACCATAATCGAAGTACATGAAGCTGTGCTGAGTGTTCAGGAGGAGTTCTTAAACAGATGCATGTCTTGGTGGGTTGAGATCTTGGGTAATCACTCCATGTCACCAGGCGCACATGTTTCAATTTCCGACACCAGCCGATGTGGGAAGAGTTTGTACTGCAACCATGTCGGCTCTGAAAGATAAAAGAAGACGAGAAATATATTCAAACAACTTTAAACACTAACCAGTTTCAGATCTAAGACAACATGATGAGAAAAAAAAAAGCAAAATAAGCTACACAAACAGTAAAGTTGAAGTGAAACTGGTGTAAAGACCTAGTGTGAATGAGTTGGAAACTTTATACTGTAGAATAAGATCTAATAACCAAGAAACAATTTCTCTTTTGGCGTACGAGCGTCCTGTGAAGCGTCAAACCTGCTTGAGAAGAACCTTGCAGTTTCTGCCATCTCTTCAAGATTATTTCCACTTTGATCTCAATACTTTGATTTTACCCAGGAAAGACACTTTTTTCTATCAACATTATTCAACTTTGTTCTCTGAATGACTCTTTGACTTTTAACCTTTAGTCTGTGATTTAAGAGAAATAACAATCCACCAAAAAAAACCATGCATTCTTTATTTTCTGCTCCAATTGATCCTAACACTCGGTACAGTCACCAATCTATACATAAATGATTAGTTACTTGCCACCGGTTGATGGATTTGGAGAATAATCCAAGTATGATGTGCCGATCAGAAGAAAGCTAATTTCCAAGAGAAAATCTTTCATGAAAACTTACAGTGTCCTTTAGTCAGGGATTGTTTTTTATCTGTATTTTCCTCTGAAGTTGCCCTTATGAAAGTCATATGCACTAAACAAACTCATGTTTGGAACACAGCAAACATGTGGAAAAAGGAGCTCTGGACATAGGAGATCAAAGTAAACATTCATGCAAAAAGTTATGTGTTTGAGTAAAAAATGAAAAGTGTACGTCATCTTGAATGCATCACACAATAAGAGTGGCTAAGCATGGTGGTGGAAGCATCAAGCTGTGGGGATGCTTCTCTTCAATGTGAGCTAAAAACAGAGTCTATAAAAGGCTGCAGAGGCAGAAGTTCGCTTTCCGGAAGCAGAATAATTAGGAACTACTTTGGAATAGTTCAAGATGTATTGGTCTGTCGTTTAAAATAAGAAATAAAACAATCTCTGATGTAGAAAAGGTTGCGATGTTCTCGTGCAAATAACTGGAACAGCCTGTTTGGGTTTACCAAGGTAGCACTCTGGTGTCTGCAGCTTCCCGTCAAAGCAGGCCTGGGCTGCGGTGAAGCTGCACTGCTTCTTGGGATGTTTGCAGTAGAATGTCACGTTTTCCCCGTGGGGAACCATGGCGTCCGTGACATCAAACGGCCAGCGCTTCACTCCACCAATCACAACACGGCTCCGCTCAGCAGGGATGACACAGCGAGCTGTGTTACAAAAATATGAAAGCGTCACGAAAACATTTACATGTTTATTCTCAGAAATTTCAGGTTTCCCTGAACCCAGACACACCGATCCGCTCCTCACCTCGGCAGTGTGGCGGAGACGCGCTCCAGCTGCCGTTTGACAGGCAGGTGATCTTCTGGGGTCCATCCAGCCGGTAGTTCTTCTTGCATAGATAGTGGATGTCAAAGCCGACCTCATACTCTGTCTTCTGGACCGCAACCACGTAGCCCTGCTGCACTTCCTTTGGAGGTTGGCAGAACAGTTCTACAAGGCAGAGTAGTTTTCATTGTTGCTAAAGTATTCATTTTACAATAGAAAAGTGCTGAATGGAAAAGAAAATCATGCAAAATTAAACATACAATAATTTATGATGAGAAAATGTTGGGAAAAATGTAATATTAAATATTATGTGACAAACTTAGCTCAAAGGAAGTTGAGCTCCAATGCATGGCAAATACTCACCTCTAAAAAATTTTGAATGAATATTAATTGCAACAACATTGAAAGTGTTTTTGAATTTGAATTTTGAAATCCAAAAATCCAAATATAATTAATTTTTTGCCCAAACTTCTGCATACATTTAAGACAAAAACCAAGATATTAGAATAATTATGTTTTGTTATCATCCTTACATTTGTAGTTTTAATAGTATTCACATCCCTGAGAAAAGGAACTTGTTAGACCTTGAAGCTGCAGCCATTTCTTATCTTAGGATACTCCTTACACGGCCTGTGTGTAGATCAGAGGTTGTGCAGAGCTTCCTTTGTCCTCCACATTCCTTTCCTGCTTTCTTTGTAATAAAAGACCAATTCTGATGCAGAGTGAGAACGCATGGCAGACACCTTGAGGAAGTGGTCTGCTCTGCCTTCTCCTTTTGCAAAAGACTTGCTTGAAAACTCAAACGTTGTCTGTGGTTCTCTTTTTATGTAGGTTGAGAAAATACCCATCACAAGATATAAAGCCAATCCTGCAACAATAAACAATTAATCAATGAATCCTATGATAAATTAAAATGAGCTCAATACTCTCCATTCCATTTCCATTTTGAAGGACAATTTTGTGTACATAAACATAATGATATGTTTTATGATGTCAGTTGTGTGCATTTATTTCAGTTTTATTTATTGTTTTTGGTTGTTGTGTTTTAATTTGGATATTTAAAATATCTTCCAGTTCCAGTGTTAAGTGATATTTAGTAAATTAAAGCGTATTCATCTTAGAGAAAACAGCATTATTATGCCATTATCAACATAAAACTACCTCAATTTATAAGATGTTATTCTGAATAAGGCCCTATTAAAATACTTGATTAAACAGAATCGGAAAACTAAAAACAGCGTGTTTTATTTTCACTCTGGGCCAAACTCTTAAAACGCTTTTTAAAACGACATTTTAAAACAGGAAGCGAAGACGGTGGTCTGATTTTTAAAGACAACGAGTTTCAAAGTTTGGGAGCCACAACAGAAAAAGCTCCATCCCCTCTTAGTTTCTGCCAAGGTTTTGGTCTAAAAGCAGCTGGTTGAACCTCAAAAGAAAGGAAATCTAGAGTAAATCAGAGAGAAGCTAGATCATTTAGTCATTTAAAGGCCAATAGCACATTAAAATAAACTACTTGACACAAAGGGAGTCAATGAAGAGGTGAGCTGTACTCATGTTGGTGTGTTTACCAGCAGGTTTGTGAACAAGCTGAAAGGGATACTTGACTGACACCAGCACAAACTGCAGATAAAGACCCATATTATTCTCCCAGTCAAGCCTCAACAAACCTGGCTTAGATTTTGTGATTTGCATGAGCTAGAAGGCCTTTTTCTGTAAACTGAGCTGCTGTGTTTATCAAATTTAACATCTAAGTGTATAATGACTCACAAATTTGTAAGAGTGTTTGATGAATGACTCAAATTACTAAGTAGTTGTCCGATTAATAAAAAGATGTTTTGTGCTTTTACAGCGAATAATGATGCAACATTTTTGCATTTATGGACATCTTTACTGGACTGGACTGACAAGCTGTCTGTTTATTTTATAGTGAAACTAATTCGTTATTTGTTTGTCTTCACCAAAAGTCTCTGTTGAGCTGCAGAGTGTTACGGTTCGTAGCACTGCTGCCTGGCAGGAAGAGGATCCAGTTCGTCTTTCAGCATGGAGTTACATGGATTTCCATGGATACTTTTCCCATCCTGTTGGTCAATCCAGAAAGTTTGAGTTTTGACCACTGGAGGGCAGGAGAGAACTTTGAAATGAAGCTTGGCGTTTCAAAGGGTTGAAGGGTGTGTGTTTGTGCGTGTGTGTAATTGTTCAGCTATTTTACTTAGGACCATATCTAGTATATTTACTAACTTTCTGAAGCATGATTTGGGGACCACAGCTCAGTCCTAATTCAATGGACCCCCTTGTTCAAGGTCAGAGGTTAAGTTTATAGGTGTGATATGTGTGTTTACTTGTATATTATATACATAAAGGACCACTTTCACAATGTTTACCTACAAAAGATGGCCATTTGTGACTTTGTTTTTCTTACATCTGCTCCACAAGTTAGATTTAGAAGTAAGGTGTGAATCAAGTTTGGGTTAATGTTACTTTTATGGAAAATGTCTTGGTTCTTAATGCAGCTACGAAAATGAATGGAAGTCAATCCAAAGTCCTCAGTTTGCATAGAAGAACAAGGATGGGTGTGTGAGTGTAATTTTTTTTTTTAACACCACGCTGATAGTGTAAAAAGAATGCAGTTTCCAAACTAACACCTATTTTCAGTCTCTCACTCACTCACACATGATTCACTAACCTTCAGAAGTGTGTAAAGTCCTGCTGAGAGTGAAATGGATGTAACACACTCACACACACTGTGGTCAGCCTGCACACTTACTTTTACAGACCGGGTGAGGATGCATCCAGGTCTGGTTGTCCTGACAGAAATTTTCCCTGCTTCCCACCACATCCGCCCTACAGGGTGGGAAAAGGGGAAAAGTGAAGGAAGCAGATGGCAGGATGACACATGCAGTAATGCCAACTCAGGAGCTTCATGAAGCACAAAAATGATATTTAAAAAACAGTGTGAATGCATCCTTTGCTTGTGCGTCTTGTTTAAAGTGTGTGTGAGAGCATGAGTGCAGCAGCTCTGGCTGACACATCCACTCTGGCTCATCCTTTCCTGTGAGATGACTCAGTGTGTAAAAGGGAAGTCGATACAAGATTTGACTGTAATGACCCAGTTAGCTCAATGGAGACATGATCAGCTGGGAGATCAAAATGAATTCCCTGCCATTCATCGCTCATCACACCAGCCTTTTGCCCTCCCTCTCGTTTCTTTTCTTCACACTCCATCTATTACTTCCTCCGCTCCTTTCTGTGTAATTCAGAGCTGCACTCACTCACTCACCCAGACAGGCAGCTGTAGTGGATTGAAGTCCCCACAGAGGCGTCGCCGTGGATGCTGAGGGTGTTGATCACCTCCTCTGGCAAAGGGCATGTTGGAGCAGGTGACTGAGCCTCTGTGGTTCAAGAAAAAAGTAGGAGGTGTCAAAGAAGGCGAAAGAGTAATAGGAAATATTTACAGTTACATCAATTGTGATCAAATCTGAGGAAATTTAGGACATTATTCACTTCATTCATGTGCAATGAACCAGGCTCGCCACTGGTCTTCAAATAATAAATTCTACAGCTGAAATGATGAATTGGATTCATTGTGATGCATCGATTATTGAACTAATCGTCATCAAACCTAGTAATCGATTCTTAACTGGAGAGCAGAGACTCAAAAACAACTATTGACTGCTTTATTAATTATCAAACTAATCAGTTGAATAGTCAGTTACTAAATTAATTGGTAGTTGCAGAAATTTACATGAGAAAATTCTCCTGTAAATTATCACAAACAGTTTTTTTTATCTTTTACATGTGGCTCAGACGAGCGTTTGCCCTGGATGGCATTAGAAAGGGCGCGTAAATGCATCTAATCAGCATTCAAAGAAGAGATGGCACTCCGGTGTGTTGAGTTGGTTGGACGCCTTGTGCCAGACTAGATGATTTACTCCATTTTGAATGGTGGGGGGCCGCAGAGAATTTAAAATTAATCAATGTAAATACTGTCAATCTAGTAGTTCTAGTAGTTTGCAAAGGAAATCGAGCAAAAGCATCAGTCAATGGATGTGCAATAGTCGTAGAAACACAACAGACAAAACCGTTTTAACTGTTGTAAAAGATAGACCATCAGAAAACCTCCACTATGAAATGTACTGAGGTTTTTGGTTAAGTCATAAAATGTGTCTATAATGCTCCGCCAAAGCACAAAACCTGCCAGAGTCTTTACCATGCATAGTTTAATTACGTAATTTTATTGGGTGCTGAGTTTTATTGCAACTTAGTTTCTTTTACTTAAAGAAAACATGTGAATGTACACATCTCTACAACCCTGTAGTATTACTAAACTGTATTCCTATGTAAATCCAATATATCCTTTTTTTAACCCAGACCTCCAGCGACCCAACAGAGCCGTTTCACCTAATGTCTCATTCTATTTCAGTAGAAATGACCCGTCTTAGGTAATAAACCAAAGTTTGACATGCAGGTGAACCACCGCCTCAAACCTCTCCAAGCTTTCAGATTGTATAACTGCTGGCTCTGATCATTCCCACAGCTGAGAGCCTCACGCTTGTGCAAGTAAAAATATCAAGAGTGGTGCTTTGCAGAGAGAGGCTGGAGTGACCCGAGCGGTTTTGAAAGACAGAGACTGCTCTCGCCTGAGGACGATCTCTGCCTCTGAAATGAGAAACGCTGAGATAAGAATGTAAAGGCACCTATGGGAGAGGGAGATTTTTTTTTTTCTTTTTTGGAGTCAGATGAGAGCCGGATGCCAAGTTCTGTTTTCACATACCGCCCCTCTCCTGCCTCGTACTGCTGCCGCCCCCACTCACAGTCTCTGGCACCAAACTGCAGTGAAACAGGTATATCAGCTTCATCTCCTTTAAACTACAAAGCATCACATTTGAATGAAACACGGCGAAGAAAAAGCATCATTCTGACTAAAACGGATCTGGTTATGGGGTTTCACTTGTGCAAACATGTACCTTGGTATAGCCAAGCTATGCAAATGAACACCCTGAAGCTGCACGCCTGTCCACGGCTCCTATTGTGGAGAGAGACCTTATCAGAGGCCTCAGATGCAGAAGGATGAGTCCAGAAAGAGATGAGAGGAGAGAAGGAACGGACAGAGAAGAGTAAGGCCTGAAGCAGCATGAGCAACGGAGCTTTCTGACTCTCCCGTCTGTGATCTGTCGCCCACACACACACAGACACACACACACAAGCAGACAAACAGTGTGACACATCTGCAGCCCACCCTCTAACACATCCACATCCAATTTATCCGGAAAAATACCTTCCTGGTAACCAACACACACACACACACGCACGCAAACAGTGCACACGGCACACACTCTGACAGGGACACGCTGCCCACCGCCTCACAACAGACACGGATCAACTCACTCACACCAACACAACGCAAACGCTCTCACACGTTCAGAACCCACCTACCTTCTGCCCATCTCTCTGCAGCAGAGAGCGAGCTGACGATTTCATCCTGATTTCACGTCTTCCAAGAGATGAAATACATATTTTAAGAGAGAAAGCAGCTCGGATGAGGACTTTCCTCGGAGAGCACGTTCAGTACAGCTGGGGGGGGGCATGACTAATGCGGTCTGTCTCAGATGGTAAAAACTGACAGCAGTGATATGTTGACCAAAGATAGTCAGGGAAAATTCAAGATAAGTACTAATAAATTACTAGAGGCTCCACTTATTCATGAGCATGTTTTAGATTTGTGCATCCTGCTATATTTTAAGAAACATGACTACACAAAAATATCTATTTTACGTTGAATCAAATACAGTATCTTCCTGCAGGATAACTGGATTTTTACCCAGATGTAAATATCCAGATTTATTTTACACTCACAAGATTTCAATTGAAAGATGTTTCTTCCCATGGTCCTTTAAAAGACAAACTGGCCCACAGCTTCACAGATCCACCACTTTGCCTAACAGTTGTTGTGATGTTTAAATGGATTCAAATGAAACACTTCAAGTGTGGAATTGTCCCTAACAAATTAATTCATTTAAAGGCAGAATAATTGCTATTTATATTTAGAGAGTAAACTGGTAAGCAAACAAAAATGAAAGACCTCTGAAATTGAATCCGTTTCATGTTCAAGTCGCTTGTGTAATTAATTTAATTTGATGCAATTTATGTGCAATTCTCTTCATGTGTTTAGAGGCACCAATGGTTCGCAAACAGTGGTTCAGTAAAACACAAAATGTGCGCTGTTAAACTAACAAGTTGTTGAAAGTCAGATGTTTTGATGCTGTGGTCGTCGCATTATTTTGATTGATACCATTGTTCTCAACAAGTTTAAGCATCAAAGCAAAATGTCTTATATTTCGCCCACCACAGAGCAGCTCACTACCCCGGGATGTTTTCTTACCTGTACAGTTTGTGAAAAGCCGGATTGACAGAAGAACATTTTGACATTTTGTTGGACTCAAATTTTCTGAATTTGTGTCCATTTGCAACTGCAGCTCATCAGACGAAAAAAGAAAAGAGCAACAGTCCACAAATATCTAGAACTGCAAGAGTGTATTTTTGTGTCTGTTGTGTAACATCCCACCCGTAAAACTGTAAGAGAAATTCACACATATTAGCAACTCCCTCTGTAAAACATTTTGACATTTCTCGATCAATTTGTACTTGTGAAGCAGGTTTTTAGCACAATTGCTTGTCATTTTGTGGACGATGCTAAATTTGTGACTTCTTTCATGTTTACTCGCAGATTTTTTGTTCATTTGCTCCTTTGCGTGGCTGCAGAAACAAACGCATTGACTTCACAAACTCAGGAAATATGCAATTTTTACAGAAGTATGTTGATTTTAGGCAGTCAAAGGGTTGAACTGATGTGTTGTAGGTATCACACAGCAGTGCAACAATTAACTTGTTGCACTGTTAGATTTGTAAAAAAAAAGTAAAAAAAAAACACATACATAATAAAATTTATTCTTTTTTTTTTATTTTTAAAAATTTGTGCTTAAAATGATGTTGTCCCCTTTAAGAGTGCACAGTCCAAACCTAATTGCTATTAAAAGGTTTCAACGGATGCTTTAGATACTAAAGTTAAATAATAATTATAATAATTCATATTAAAATTTGTCTCTATTGTGCAACTAAGATCGCTCAGGAATCTGTGTTTAGTCATTGAAGAACTCTCAGTTTTCTTTTTCTTTATAATCTGAGATACTTTAGCTGACACATTTCTTTAAATGAATCACATTAATCCACTCAAGTTCGCTGTTATTTAAAATATCTTTAAGAAGAAAAATAAATAAATACATATCTAGATAATCTTTTCACTTCATCTTCTGTGTTTTAGGTTGAAAGGAGAATTGCATCCCTTTATGATCACAGACCAGAGATGTTATGTGTTACTGTGATTGCTCAAATAAAAAATAAAAAATGAACAAAAAAAAACATCTGCTGAAAGCTGTTGGTACAGAAAAAGAAAATGGAGAAAAAAGCAACCAGTTGGGTTCACCAAACATAAAAGGGTCAGCCCGGTATATTTCTAATCAAATAAATCGTATTTGAAATGACGCTTGGAAGCCTGTATTTACAGCGTTCAGGCAGGAAGTGAACAGAGAGAAAAGGTGCATTAGTATTTTTAGTCTGTGGTTCATGAATTGAACCACAGACTTTAGAGATGTTAAGGACTAAGATTTATGAGGTTTTCGTTCTCCCTTCCTTGAGAAAAAATACAAATAGTTTGACTTTCTACTATTTTTTCTTTAGTCTGAGGGAAGCATGATTCCAGAACAAAGCTGTAGATTAAAAAGAGTGAAATGCTTAAGTAATAAATATTGGTATTGACTGAAACTGAATAATATTAATTAAGAAAAGGCTTTTTTAATGATTAAGTCTGTTTTCATTGAGACCGTTGACAGCCTGATAAAGACTGGGCCACTTTAACAAAATCTTGGGTCTCTGAACGCTCTGGTTGACATGGTGATGGGGAGAATAGGTCACAGTTGTGCAACACATTTAAGTCGACACATTCACAGAGGGGTTTCAGAAATGTTTATCTGCCTCTCTCTTTTTCTCCCCATCTGGTGTAAACACACAAACTCCAGTGCTCATTCCTTGGCCATAAAACAGCCACAAACTCGCCTTTTAAAGTATCAGAACTAAAGAAGACAAGCAAACCTTTTCTGTAAATTTCTGGAGACATAAAAAAAAAAAAGAACAATAAACCCACCTGCGCAGATGGGTTCATCCCCACTCCACTGTCGGTCACCCTGACACCGACGAACCGTGACATCCAAGCCATCGGGCAACGTAAAGCCCGGCTTGCAACGGACTTCTAGCAGGGCGGAGAAGGAAGGAGTGGCAGACACCAGGCGAAACACAGAGTTTTCACTCGGGGGAAGAGGCCAGGGACAAGTACGACCTGGGGAGAGGGAGAAGATCCAGGAGGGGAAACAAGAAGGACGGGAACAAAACAATTCTTAGGAAGTGTTGGCTGTTAACCAAAGAAAACAGTTACAGCTGGATCACTTTAAAAGAGCACTAATGAGGTTGTATAACTAAATTGCTTGCAATTACAATGCCCTACTTTATGACACACATACATAATAAAAGCTTGTGCTCTGCTTTCTGAGGGGCTGGGATTCTTGGGTTTTATTTAATTCTCCAGAAAAAAAAAAAGATTGTGTGTTGGCTCAGATACACAGAGGCAGATTTTATTATGTGCGATTGGGCTCACCACCCTAGGCGCTATGTAGTCTGGGGCGTCAATAGAAAAGCTGACGAGGTTTTTAGTATCAGATTGGAAGCACTTTTTTTCCCCTGTAAGTTCATAATATTGATAATTACTTTAACAAACACATGACCTGACAGTGAAAAGATTTTTCACAGATTTATTTTATTTTATTTTTTTCAGAACTTTGTTTCTTTCTGATTTCGGGGGCTGCAGAGGAAAAGCCTCCTTTCAAGCAAGAGCCACCCCTGCAGATGCAGGCGCACAGAAAGCTTTTCACAGTGAACCATGATGAATCCAGTTACCTGGAGCCACACAGCTCAGACCGCACTCGCCGTCGCACAGGCACTGGCGCTTGCTGCCACATTCTGCGTCAGATTTGCAGGTCCGAGGACAGGCTCTCGTTTTCCTGTCTCCTCCCTGAAGTCGCTCCACACACGACCCTGTTGTGACATCAACACTCATCACAAACGACCACTGCACTAATTTCACATCTTGAGAGATTCTGTTTACCAGCAGCTCTGCTTTTGCCTTTGTTTTGGAGGGGGGAAACATTTGCGTGGGTGGCTGAGCAAACGAGTATTTCCATGGTGGGTTTTGTTTAATCCCTTCTGTTCAGCTTTCGGTCTTCCTTCGTATCTAATAATGTTTCATCTGAAAATCTCTATCTTTGCAACACCACTTTATTTGAACAGTCTATTCCTTGAAATTGTGTTGATATTAATTCAACATTTTCACAAGGTACAACCTCAAATTTCTATTTGGCTTTTAGTTGAAAAACCAAAGAAGAGAAAGAGTAAGAGCAAGCATCAGAAGTTACCTAATTAGTAAATAGAGTCAACCTGTGTGTAATTTAATCTCAGTATAAACGCAGCTGCAGTGAAAGCCTGAGAGGATAACAGTAGTGAACAACAGTATCTCACAGATCACAGTTTTAATCCATCAAAGAGGAAACAGTTTGGCACAATAGACAAAAAAAAACAACTGTGTGAAGACAGCATTTGTCACAAAATCAGCCAAAAGGTCCACAGCAACCACAGAGGAGCTACAGGAGCCCTGAAGATCTGTAGACACAACAATTTATTAGTTGAGCCCTCAAAAGTAATCTGTCTCTTATAGAAGAAGGCAAAGCCAAAAGAAGGCATTGTTAAAGGCAAGATGTTTGTTATTGTGAACATGTTTTTGGCAGCATCATGCTGTGGAGATGCTTTTCTTCAGCAGAGGCAAAGAAGCTTCTCAAAGTTGATTGAAAGATGGATAGAGCTAAAAACAAAGCAATATTGGAATCAAACGTAGAGACAACATATAACAAAACACAAACACAGAGAGCTACAATGAAAAGGTTTAGATCTAATCATGCGCTAGAGCGGCCCAGTCAAAGTCCAGATCTAAATCCAAATGAACATCAGTGGATAGGCTTGAAAATTTATGTGCACAGTTACTATGTCTGATCTACGAGTCGCAGATACACAGCAGCAACTTGGCTGGAAACAAATACAAGTCATGCTTTTGAGATTTTATTTGTAGAAAATATTGGAAGCCACGCATCGTTTTCCTCCTAAATTACAATTATAGACCACAATATGCTACTCTGTCACACAAAATCCCAATGAAATAGTTTCAAGTGGCAACATGTGGAATAAATCACTGACTAAAAACACTTTTGTAAAAGCGCTGCATGTACAGCTACAAGCACCTTCTCTGCGCTTCATCAGTTTCGTACAACATTCTGAAAAATGTTTCAGAACAAGAGGCGAGGGTCATGCCAGGACCCGAACTTTTCAAAAATACTTCTCGAAAATGAGGGGGAAAATGTACACACACAGCTGCATTTATGCACAAATATTAACGCTGAAAAAATATGTAGATATTATTTGTAGTCTATAACTTGTAATATTAGGTCTTATAAATAGAAGACAGTTTTAAAAATCTGCAATCAGCTGATCAAAATGCTAGTTTTAGAGTGATTAGTGCAAACTCCAGGAGTTTGGTGCTTACATTGAAATGTAATGTGTTTAATTGGCACAATAAGATGTGCCGAAATATGTTTTTATTGTTCCTCATTTAGTGAAATTTATTTCCAGCTGTGATTTTCTCTGAAGAGGAGCCTTACCTGAATCCTGAGGGGAAGCCGTTCCTATCAGAGCCCAGAGGAGAAGCAGCAGCAGTCCAGAGTCCATCATTAGAGCCAGACCTCAGGATGATATGAGTGAGGGACAAACACACATACAGCTTTTTTAAAGAAGTAGGTGGGGGTGGGGGGGACACAAAGGGTGGAACAATGAAGGGAGTGGGTGGGGGGTGGTTTCAGAGAACCCAGGAGCTCACATCTGTTTTGTGTTGAAGACGAAGAGAAATGAGGAAAATTCCTCTCTGAGGGACCTTTCACCCATTTCTGTTAGGACAGAGCAGGCTGACAAGCTTATGAATAGTCCTTTAAAGAAGTTTTCATGTTGACAACACAGCTATTATATATCTGACACTTTCAGCTGCATTCAGCAGGTTAACCGCTTTGGGAAAACGTATGTCCCTTGGAGTAAAAAAGTATTTGGTGAAAAGTATACACAAGTACTGAGCAATTGATCACATCTGATTGAATATTTTAAAATGATGTCATCAGATAGAAAAGAATATAAAAGTTATGTTCAGATTCTGATATTATAAAGACCAATTTTAAAAAATAATAATAAAATACCAAATTCAATCAAAATTTCTTATTTCAAATCCCTTTTTTGGTTACACTTTATTTTAAGGGGTGTGCTAAAAACTGCCATTACACGACATGCACATGACATAACACACGTCATGAAGATGAGGGAGTCTTCATGAATGTCTACTGTCGTCATAAAGTGTCTTTCAATAATGTCTTTTTATGCAGATTTGCATTAAAAGTTGCATTACAAGTGCATTATTTAGCATTATTTGGTAAATAATTAGACTTTGTGGCAATAAAACTTACATTAAAAACCAAATGAAAGAGTCATCTTTGCATTAAAAGTGTCATTATTTACCGAACGAGATTTCATGTCAGCACTCATGAAGATTCCTTCATGTTCTTGACAGGTGCTATATCAGGTTTATGACAGCGTCATGTCAGTCTTGTGCACACACCTTCAAATAAAGTGTCACCCAATTTTTTTTTTTTATAGAATATTTAAAACTAATACTTACAGACGTTAATTTACTATAAGTCAGAAAATACTAGCATATAACATTCCGGCAAATGTAACAAAGATTGTGTCCAAACAAGAGGTCTCACTTTAACATAAAGTGTAGACATGTAGCTTTTCATTCAAGTAAGAGTTATGATACTTCATAACAACATCACTCAGGTGAAAACAAAAAGTGTGGTGATGTAAAACTCCTCTTAAAAGTCCTTTTTGTTTGTTTGTTTTTTTATCATTATTATTTTAACGTTACTCAAATAAATGCAACTAGTTACTATTCACCCCTGGCCACAAGTCAGAGGGGATACAGCAAACTTGTACAAGGATATGCATCCTTCAAATGAGACTGAAATACAACTTTTTGGGCAACATGCATACCATAAAACATTGAATTCATCCTCCCACAGGGATGCATGGTGGTGGCAGTATTATACTTGCAAGTAACTTTTCAGCATGATATAGAAACTTGCTTTAAGTTAATAATTTCCTCATATTGTTTTAAAAAGTAGTATCTTTACCTGCAGATCATTTAACTTCTGAAAATGTTAAGTGAAAAAATCTCCCAGTGGAATTAGTAGTTTTTTAATAAAATAATCACATATTATTGATTTAAGAAAGTTACATATAAGTTAGTTTTGTTTTATTTCAAGTTTACTAAGATTTTCCCTTGGAAACTAGCCTAAAAATATTTGATAAGATTTTGTGTTTTTGCAGTGCACTTGAGCTTAAGCTATTTTGCAAAGACATACAGGCAGATATTTCACTCTCTATATGTGCAGAGCGACATCCCCAAAAGACTTGCAGCTGGAACTGCAAAGAAACCTGATTATACAAACCAGTTGATGTTTTCCTTCCACTTCACAGATATGTGCTCCTTGGCGTTGGTCTGTCACACAAAATCCCACTAAGATACATTCAGTTTTGCTGTTTTGAGTGTCAAAATATGCAAAGGTTCCAGGGAGATTAATACATTTGCAAGACATCTCTGATGACGGTGTTAAATATTTCCCAAATATCCAGAGGGACAAGCACTGAGTTTGTGAGACAGCTGACAGGCTTTGGAATGCGTGCAATGTGAACAAACAAGAAGACGATCAAAATATCAGAACAGCCCCGGAGCATCCCAAGACAAATCACGGTCTGGCTATCACTCCGAACTTTGACCGACTCTTTTCTCCCTCTAGAAACCCAACTTTATTTCCAGATGGAGTTAATGTGAAACACAAACTTGTGACGAAACAGTCAAAACAGAGCAGCAGTGAATGAGAACAATCTTTTATTGTTTTTTTGTTTTTTTCTCTTTTTTTTGTTTTGTTTTGTTTGGGAAGTTGCAACTACATCCAAAACCAGCCAGCTCAAACTGGCTGGGGAGAGGGAGGACAGGCTGGGCACCATGAACACTACTTATGCAGCAGTCACTACAAGGTTCACCAACCACATCTGTGAGGATTTTGGAAACCGGATCTTGTTGGGTAGAGCAAACAATCACTGAGTGAGATGATACAGGCTGTAAGGAACCGCCGACGAGCATTGCAGTCGTGTGCATAGTCCTTACACAGCTCAAAAACAGAAGGCGAAGGTAAAATAATTCTGCATGAACGTCACGTTCAGGCCCATGAGTCGAGTTTGTGAAACCCACTGGGGTGGAGGAGAAGGTGGTGGTGGAGTCCAGAGCAGAAGTGAATGTCCGAGGGTGAGCATTTCTGAGGAACACTCAAAAAGATGTTTCTAGATGCAACAGATCATGTCTCTCCAAAGAAAGAAAAACATTCAGTAATATAGAATAATAACAATAAGAGGGTAATCATCATAATTATAACAATAACAATAGCTGTAATGGTAATTACCATCATGGTCATTAAAGGGATTAAAATCACACACTTTCGCTAGTCATCCCTCCCCCAGGAACATAATAACACTGTGTCCCATGCCCTTGTGTAGGTGTTGTTAGATACAGTAGAAAGCAGACAGGTGGCTATGGGGAAAAAGCACTAAATAACAACAACAAGATCCACACAGGGAATCTTGGCTTTTATTTGTCCCAGAAAACTATTCCACTCAATGGGGGGGGAGGGGCACATGAACCATCTCCTGAAATACACCAAATATGTATTCAAAATATTTCTCCTTCTAAAGTGTGATTAGTTAATACAGTGAAGTATCGGTGGGCGCCTAAGTGGTGGGGGGCTGGTTTCAGAGTATGTTACAACACCGTATGGGAAGAGTTTAACCGTGGGAGCAAGCAGAAATAGAAGCATGGATATATGGATTCAAAGAGGATGCAGAGGAGCAGGACTGACCAGGGCTCCATAACATCACAAAGCACTGCGCTGAGAGAGAGAAATAAAAAATAAAAAAACAGATCCAGATATAAACGGATTTCAGAAATATGCACCAGTCGACAGGGTGAAATTGTCTATTAAAAAGATGAAAAGGAAAAAAAAAAAGCACAAGATCTGGTCAAGACAAGTGCTGAATACACCTCGTGTCTCTCATTCTGTCTCTACTGAGCATGCCCAGTGACCTTTACGTGACAGGAAAAAAAACGGAAGTACTCGAGAAAAAAATCCACAAAATGCTCAACAATACAATTTTTAAGATAATTTTTGCTCTCTATATTACAAATTATTACATATGTCCTCCACCGTGCTGCTGCATCGTGACTAAAGCATCAATGGCTGACAACTCCAGACTCATCTAAAAGAAAATGATGTTCACCATGGCTTCTCTGCATCTCTGTGTCCAAAACATGTAGAAAATATACAAAATTATTTTCTGCATTTGCTCTCCCTCTAAATTTTTCTTAAGTATTATAAAAATATACAATTCTCCAATAACAAAACCCTTAAAAGTCACATATTTTTTAATCAGTTAAATTACTCTCTCTCTCCATCAATCACTTTTAACAGCTCAACAAAACAAGACACCTGAGCTTCAGTACACAACCCTTTTCCTTGACTTATACATTCATCATTTTAATCGTCAATGTCCTTCTCATTATGATTTTCAACTCATTATGTCCGTCAAACCATCCCGGTGATTTGGAGTCTTAAGTTTAATTCGTCTCCTCTTCTTGATCTTTCCTCCATCACTGGTCACCCAGACGGTTCTCGTATTTACTAAGGATGTTACGGCAGCGGCCCAGTTCTTTCCGCATCTCGGCCACTTCCTGTCGCAGGGCGGCATTCTCTCGCTCCAGATAGGCGGCCCGCACCGAAATCTGGTTCTCCTTCAGGCGGCGAGCGTCCCGGGAACGCTTCGCAGCCTCGTTGTTTTTGTACCTCCTGGTCCAGTACTTCTCGTCCTATAGGAGGGGAACAAACACAGGAGGGACATTTAGTGAGTGAGCTTTCACCAACACAAATGAAAACTTGAAGACAAGCATATATAGTGTGGCATAAAACATGTTTCAGAGTTCTTCTGTTTTTGCTTGTTTTGTCAAACATATTTTTTTTTAATTAATTAAGCTTGTGTAAAAATGCTTTGCCCTCATGGGAAAATCATTAATGATGATTAAAAGAATGTTTTGGTTTGATTTCACTCAAATCAAATAGGAATCAATTAAGATATCTCATAAACATCATGTGCAGATATAAGGACTGTGTAAGCCTACAAAGCCATTTCTAAGAATTTAGGACTCCACTGAACCACAACAATAGCCACTATCCACAATATAAACATGCACCAAAAGTGGCTGGCCAATCAAAATTACTTCGAGATGGAGTTAATGGCTCATCCAGACGGTCACCAAAGAACTGTAACATTGAAAGCTCTCGGTTCAGCTGGGTGTTAATCATTTTTAGATGTTTCCTTGTTTCCATGTGCCTAATTTAAATGAATGAGTTAAATCTGGTTTCTGCAAAAGTTCATTCAATGGAAAAAATAAACCCCACTAATGCAACCATATCAATCGTATTTAAAACGTACAGTCATGTAGTGTAACTTTATATGCAACCAAATGTCTTTCCTGTTATCTGTAAAGAAGGTAAACATGGAACTGACGGCAAATTAACTAATTTCATGCCCA